AGTTTAGCAGTGCATTCAGAGTGTAATTTTATTTGCCTGGATTGTACCAGGGACAGTGGCAGAGGAAGCTGCCAGCACTAATCACTACATGAAAACAGCAGTTCAAACACTCACAGGTATTTTCCAGACACACTGTTCCCTGTCTTCCCTTTCCCTTTTTAATGGATCCCTGATTGAAATTATTGTCCAGTTTTCAGAAGGACAGTTTGTGGCACCTCATACTTCACTAAGAGGTTTCTAACGAAGTTAGAAAAGCTGTAGTGAGATCAAATTTCACTAAGCAAAAGAATATTATTTCGCAGCTAAACTAATTATTTTAAATAATGAGATGCCTAGATGCACTGCACTCTAAAATGGATGCCCTTTAGATATGTAGAATGAAATAGGATTTGTGTTTAATGATACTTAATTTTTATTTCCCTCTTTTTATTTAGAACAAGTGAAAGTGACACATTGCTGTAATATTTCCAGATTTCTTATTCTTACAAGAATAAGAAATCTTGCATTATTCTTACAAGGTGGAAGGGTGCTTCATACTTCCCCTGGCAATTCTGTAAAACCATTTTTAATGACTTAAATTAGAAATAATTTTTCCTAAACACCTGTAGGAGTAAATCTGTGTGGCAGAGGCACTTTTAGAGATCAAGATCCAGCTTTCTGCACAAAGTTGCCCCATGCCCAAGCATGAAGTGATTGATGTCTGAGCCGAGTTGTTCGGGTTTTTAATTCCTCTCCTACCTATAATTTCCTCTTGCTCTCACCTTATGCCATACAAGGTGGTAGCGAAAGAGCTGTCCTAGGATCTAATATGAGATATTTCCTCAGCATATGGTGGGAGTTTTAACTTGGGGTGTGCCTTGAATGCCAACAGCTTTAGCTGCTGCTGTGGAATAGAGGTGTTGGGGTGACTGGAGAGAGACACAGTGGGGCATACCCCAAAGGCAAAATCCACTTGCTGGGATGCTTCTCCTCCTCCAAACCAGGATGATTCCTTAAATCCATTCATTTATTTTATTGGTATTAAAGAATAACTGTTGGCACTGAAAATCAGGTCTGTAACATGAGCTTTGAAACAATTCACGTGCAGAAAATGAAGTGTGAGTTGGAGCTGGTAGATCAAAGTCCAGCAGTGAGTGCTGGTGAGGGACAGAGCCAGCAGGACACACATGAGGATGCAGCTCCATCAGATTTAAATTAAGTGAATTGCTGTTCAGTTAGAGAGGCCCCCAGCATAACAATGCATCTGCTTGATGCATGGAAAGAGTTTACACGAATATCCAAACAAAGCTAGGAGAACACTTAAATGAGCAAAACAAAGAGCATCGAGTGGAACATCACTGAAAATCCATAAGGAAGGGACAAAAGCTTGGTGAGGAGCTGGAAGACAGGACTCCCAAATATTTCAGCAATATTCAAAAGACCTCATTTTTTTTTGGCCAGCTGTGGGCTCAGTTTTAGTTATTTGGAGCCCACACACAACGATTCCCCTGTCTCTGAGGGGTAGGAGCAGCTGCTTGGCTGATTCTCCTCACACAGTTTGAAGGAAGAAAACAGCTCCAGTGCTGCTCTTCTGGGCTTTGGTGTGAGAGTTGCTCTTTTCTTTACAAGATTTATGTGCTGCCTTCAGATACACACTGGTGGCTTCTTGCTGAAGTTCCTGCTTCTACACTTCCCAGGTGGTAGAAATCCGCATGGATTTGTTACCTTCAGTGGTGTGATGTAATTAACGTGAGCTGAGATCTAGCCCTTAGGGAAATTCTCAACATTTTAAGCTAATTTGAGTATAACTTTAAAGGCTGCCATAGATAAAATTGAAATTTCTGCTTTAGCAGCGGTTGTTTTTGTTCATGTTATTCCCATTTTCTTGTAATCCTCTTGGACATGAGTAAGCACAGCAGAGTGAATCCCAAAATGCTGATTGTTTCTGGAAAGGGATGCTCTATGTTGACTAAAAACATACTGAATTATTGAGTAGTTTTCTAAATATGTTGCCTGTCAGAACAAAATTAATGGGATAGTAGATGCAATTGTTACACTGAGGCTAAGACCTGAGATCTGTGGATGGAATAGAAATTATTTTTATGTAGAACAACAGCAAGACTGTATGAAATGCTTCTGTTCGGTAAAACCCTTGCTGAGGTCACCAGAATTGGTGTTCATTTGTAAGGGAGAGGTTTGAATCTTGCAGTGAGATTTTTCACCAGAAAGAACCTAAATTTTGTCTTAAACATGATTCTCAAAAAAGATTTCTAACTTGTAAATTGTGAATAAAGCCCATGAAAAGCTTCTATTTATCCTCATCTTTAAAATACACTTATTCCAATCTTTAAAATAATATACAAAAATAATCTTCTAAAAAAAGCAAGTGTTAGAGGCCATGAGGATACTGGGAATGGAGGCTTTCAACCTATGTCATAATCTGCCTCTAATTAGCAAAATCAAACTCATCAGTGGCCATTAAGACTCTGGATGCCTTTTAGTGCCTACTGGAATTGCCATTTTGTTGGCCATATATTCTGTGGTGCCTTGGGACTGTTGTTCATTTGCTCCCATTAATGCCCAGTGTCCCCTGTGCCTGTCCTTTAACCTCAGGTGGAATTGTTAACGCAATTGTTAATTACCTGGCAAGGGGGTGTGTGGTGTTTGGAACTGGTCCTGCTTCTGCTGGAGCCTCCTCATCTGCCTGGCAGAGCTGCTGCTGTAGGAGCAGCCAGAGATGAACCAGAATTCATTTCCTTGCAAGGCTTTAGGTGAAAAAGAAGTTTCTCTTTCGACCGGAGGCAAGAACTGTTTTCAGGTTCCTTTTGGGTTTGTTTTGTACACAGGACCTGCTGTCTTCTGGGGTAATTTGGGCATTTTCATCCAACATCTCCCTTCTGCTGGTCTCCTTGATGGGGCCCTTTCTGGTTTGGGCAGGGGTCCTTGTCCACATCATTTGTGATGTGCCGTGGGAGGGTGGTGCGGCTGGGAAATGGGGACACGTGGTGGCTCTCAGGGACAGTGGGATGGGCATTGCTGCTCCTCAGGGGCTCTGCCCTCTGGAGCTTCCCATTCCAGCCCTGGCCCCCCCAGGCAGAGCTGACAGCCACGTTATTTTAAAAGCATGACTCCCTCCCATCCCCTTGCCATGGGATGTTGCTGCTCAGGGTGTAATTACATCAAAGCGTGGAGGTTTGGTGGTAGGGAACAGCGTCTGTAAATCCTCGTTTGTTTAATGACAGAATGTTGGAAGGGCCTGACAGAGCCGTGCTAATTGTTGTATGTGTTTAATAAAAGTGGCTGTGTGGTAAGTGTCAACTCAACATTAAAATCATATTATTAAATATGGATCTGTGCAAGCTGCTAACTGCTTTTGATCAATTCATATAAACATGACGCATCCCTTAATTGTATTAAATTTAAGGAAATTTAACAATTAATCTTCATTAAATTAGCACTGCAGTTTTGACAGCCTATCATTTAGTGATTGTTGGAGACTCTTTTAAGCAGTCAAACCAAATGCTCGTGATTTATTTATCTGTATCTTTATATATTTATTTTCTCTGCTTTTTGAGAGGACATGTTTCAGGGAAGTACCTTAGGAGGTAAAGGCAGGATAAATCATCTGAAGTGTGTGTGGGTAAAATACTGCCCTGACCAGCTGATCTGGCTTTGAAAGCATTGTGCTGCATTACAAATACACAAGAATATGAATATTTTTCTTTGAAACTTGTTGTTCACAGAGACTTTCTGGCAAACAAGCCCATTCCTACTGCTTAGGGAGTAAGTGCAGAGCTACAGTTGAAGAAAGCTTTATTAATCCTACCTCTGGTCCTTCAGTCTCATTGATTTTTGACATGGCTAGTGGAAAACCACTGGCTTTTTCTTAATTCACTGTTCCTTCAGCTTTTTATTTTTCTTTTCCTTTTTTTTTCTTTCTTTTTTTTCCTTTTTCCTTTTTCTTTTGATATCAGCTAAGGCTTAAACTCTATGGGAGGAATTCAGTGAATATTAAAGAAACAGTAATTTAAATTACAGGGAAAAGGTAATAAATCACACTGTATGGTACTTATTCTAAACTTCATCTCATTTAGATACTCTTTTCCATGTTGACAGAATTAAAATATTCATTTGGTTTTCAATGATTCTCTTTCAGCTGCACTTAATGTTTCTGCCTTAGGTTTTTATAGATTTTGTCACTTTAAAAAATGTACCACTAAAGGCAGGGTTTTAATTATCTGATTTGCTTTTCCATTTAAACTTCCAGAATGATTTTCATCTAAAGATCTTATCTGTTCTGTTTTTGATTATTGGATGTAGATCAATCACATGGAGATGTTTGTATCATCTGTACATTGGAAAATAGTGTTCAGAAATCAGAGTCTGCTGCTCCTTTGGAGTGATCCAAATCAGATACAGCTCAGGAAAGTAAATCCACTCTAGGTGCACCACTGCTCTGTGATCATGGAATTGGGCTGGCAAAGGAGAGCAAACTGAGGCAAAAATAGCTCCATTAAAGTTAAAAAGTTACATAGGGTAAAGTATTTCTATATCTTAAATCTCCAAAAATAAAAGCTGTTCCACAGTTGTACCTGATTGTGATGAGACATGGATGAGTTTAGGAAAGGAAGCAGCATTATCCTACTCAAAGACCCATGGGGTCCTTCAGGAAATACCCTGTGTACATATTTCCTTGCAAACTCTTCAATCTCTTCGTTTCCAGTGATTCAAAAAAGCAAAATGTGAACTCTTTGGTAGGGTTTTGCTGTGATCCCTTTGGGCTTGTGCAATCACAAGTAATCTCTTGCTGTGTAGAAAATGGACATTTCTCCAGCTGGTGCCACAGCTTTTAGCCTTCCCCAAATGAAATTATTCCTTGAATGCTAAGTGTGATGTAAATGTCTAAAGAAGTCTGGTTCTTTGTGGCAGACAAATGGGATGTCCCCACAAAGGAGATGCTCCCACAGAATTTGCTGCAGAGATTGCAAAATGATGGTTGAGTAATTCTCTTCACATTTGAGGTTGGTTTACGCTGTTTTAATGTCCTGCAAGGCTTTTTGCTCCAGCATAGATGGAAGATGGAGCATTGCCAGTTGCATGTGATGGTACAGTTGTTGTTGACCTGCATCTGATGTCAGAGGCCAGCAGAATCTGTGGAGATGGGAAATGGGGAGGGAAGAGGTGAGATCTAGGACAATGACATCATTTTTAGCTCAATAAAACTCCCTGGCTGTAAAGGTTTCACTCCCAGGCTGCTCTGCCTTGGAGGATTCTGTGTGCCCAGGGTGCCTGCCCAGTCTCTGAAATACAAACTTGGCTCCTGTGTCCCTGGTACTAATTCCACACATAATGAGAACTTCTTAATTAGGCCTCTTCCACAGGAGCACTTAACTCTCCACTTATGCAATGAATTTTCTGTAAGTAAAAGTGTAGTACAATAATTGTGATGCATGATGGGCGTGTTTAGATAACCCTCCTATTATTTTAGGAAGTGCAGTACTTCAAAGAAAACTTATCCCAAGGTGTCCCTTAAACTTTTCTTTTGTATTACCCTCTGGATTACTCTCCTATCTTCTTCCTTTGATATGTTAATTCAGTCATTTTTTTTTTCTACCAGGCTTCATTGCTCCTGCTTTTTTTCTTCTTTTTTAAACTGTAATTTAATTTTGTGGAGAGTTAATGCTTATCAGTCTTGTTTTACTAGTTGACAATTTCTAGGACCGTTTTTTCCTCTTTGAAATGAAAGTCTGTGTACTGTTCTGCCTGACTTTTGTGTTTACTAATCTGTGTTACTATTTTTTTAACAGATTTTCCTTGTTACTGTTTGTTCTTTTTCAAACAGCAGCACTAATTTTTCCTCTTGGTTTTGGTTTGAGCTGTTTGGATCTCATAATACTTTAGCATAATTAAGAAGCATATATCAAAGCTGCTGACTGAAAGGTTTTGTCAGTCTCTCTTCCACACACATACTTGTCAACTTTGAAACTTTAACCAAAATTAGTCAAATTTACCCGCAGTTCATGAAAACTTGACTGGTGGGAAACAAATGCTTAGATTTGAAGCAAACTGAGCCTCAAGCATTGGGAGCTTCTGTTTCTTGGGCAAAAGCTTCACCTGTCAGTTTTCAGGAAAGCTTGTACAGCATATGAGATCTGACTTGTTTTCCGTCAGCTATACAGAAAATGGTAATGAATTAATTTACAACTCATTATTTAAGCCCTTTGAGCAATAGCTTTAAATATCTATCTGCTGTTGTCTCAAAAATGAAGCACCCAGCTCTGCCACCCGCGCGCAGTCCGGATGATGCAGATTCTGCAGGGCTGCAGTTTGCTCACATTGAATTGTAAAAATCTAATTCTTTATCCCTTTCTTACTCAGCATAAAGCCGATAAACCAGTTTTGTTGTTTGTGCTTCAAATCTAGCCAAAGTCATATGCTTTAGCAGGAGCTTAATTATATTTACTGGTGAGTTCAGCCAGCTCTTCCAGTGGGTTTTTTCCCCTGGTGGCACTGCAGAAACCTGCTGGCAGTGCAGCTGAAAATATTCCTGCTCATTTCCTTCCCAGCAGACAGTGGTGCCCCTAGAATTCTGATGCACTAATATAGGAGAAGAGCTTCAGCCACCAAAAGAAGAGGGGAGGAGGGCAATCCCAGGTTTAGGTGGTTGTTGATGTGTGGCCCTTGGTGTCACTGCAGTGATCTCAGTGAGGTGCTGCTGTTTGGGGTCTTGCAGGGTTTGTGTGGTCACAGTGGGGGCTGAAGTGTAGTGTGTTAAATCAGCTTCAGTGGATACCAGTGCCAGTCTGTCCATCAGTGTGGAGTTACCTCCCTTGGCTCTCTGTGGGTTTGCTTCCATGGTATTGATGGCATTTACCTCATTTTTAATTACTTTACTCATTTTGATCTTTGCTGTGAGGGTGGGGAGGCCCTGGCTCAGGTTGCCCAGAGAAGCTGTGGCTGCTCAATCCCTGGAAATATCCAAGGCCAGGTTGGAGAGGGTTTGGAGCACCCTGGGATAATGAAAGGTGTTCCTGCCTGTGGCAGGAAGGTTGGAAGGAGATGTTCTTGAGATTCTTTCCTACCCAGACCATTCTGGAGTTCTGATTCTATAATGCTGATGTATTTAACAATACTTTCCAGCTCGTTAGAACTGTACTGTGTCTTTGCCTCTAGGCACTTGAATAGCAATTAACAGTATCAGTACATAATGAGATACTCTCTATATGTTGAAAGTCCTTCTTTTCTATTTATGTGTCTAGAGAACATCAAATGAAATTCAAACCTCTTGGGTGATTGTTTTTCCCCCCACTCTTGTGTTTTTTCTCTGTGTTTGTGAATCTTGGTCTCCAGGGATTATCACTGATGCTGGTGGAATTAGGTGTCTGTGGTCCATCAGCACAGAAATTCTTCACTGAAAATCTCTTTATAAGATTGGCTCGCCATCAGAAACTAAAATTGGACAAGCCCTGAGCTTTGGGAATATCTTCACCTTTCTGAACTGCATCTTTTTGGGTGGAGCTAGATCCAAGAGCCAGCTGTACTCAAAGTCAGGGAAAGTTTGCATCTGGAGATGGATTTCAAGTCTTATCTATGCTTGATTTTTCCTCAGCTCCTCTGTGAGCTCCCCTGTACCACTGTTCAGTTTCTCTGACAGGCAAGACAGAGATTTTGTAATTAGGAGCCTTCCATCATATGGTGTCCCTGCTGCGTTTCATCGCCAGCTGTCTTCCCGGGGCTGAGGAAGCTTTGCTTTTACCATGCTTCACACAGCATTAAACTGTGTAGAAAAGGCTAAATATTGTAGGCCAGATGCTGCTTTCTCTTTGCCTTTTATCAGCCTAGAGAATAATCTCACTCCTGGGATGGCACTTTGCTCCTGTTAACCAGTACCTGGCTGCAAAAGGCTCCTGTTCCTCCTCGGTCCTCTTTGTCCCCTGGCCCTTTGGCAGAGGATTATTTCCACTGTGGGCTGATTGTTTGGGACCAACTTTTCTTTTTCATTTTGGGATGTTTTGATGGGCTTCACTCCAGTTGCATTACAAAGGCAAGCAGAATATGTAGGCTCTTTCTTTCATTTTTCTCTTATATATATATATTTAAGAAATCCTTAAAACAGGAATGGCAGTGACATCTTTTAATATGACTAGCACTAACCTCTCTAGTTATTTATCTAATGAAACTGAAGTTTTCTGCAGTATCCACAAGACCAAGAGGCATTCTTTGAACTCCTCCCCATTTCCTTCTCCATTTCTATTTGGAAGTGCTCCTTATCTGCTTTTATCCTGCGAGGGAGGAATTTTTTGAGCCTGAAATGAAGAAGCAGCCCCTAAGGGGACTTTAATACAGAGAGGTTACAACTCAGACAATAATTTGGGTCAATTTAAATGGCATGTGGGTGTGGGTTTAAATAAATAGCTTTAACCTTTAGCTTACTGATGGAACTGAAAATAGATACAGGGTTGGGCATATTGGAAGAAATGTGCCATTGCTGCCAGCATTACTTTAAATAAATAGATCTCTCTTCAGGGCTGTCAAACCAGCACCTTTGCCAGTAAGAAGCAATAAGATATTTTTTCTTTTTCCTTTTCTATTTTTTAACCAGCAGCCAAGTCTAAAAGAAGCTCTTACTCTTTTTTTTTCTTTGGTGGTTTTGTATTCCCAGGCTTGCACTTTGCAATTTTCTTCTTTCACCTAGACTTTTAATAACATTCATAGATCTTTGTGGCTATTTAATTGCCTAGTTACACCTGTATGTAGACTTTCCATAACCAGTTATATCCTAAAGGCAGGAATTAGAGCACGTGTTGCTCTTAGTCAGTGTTTGCCGTGTTTCAGCCAGGAACTCTGTGAACTGCTTTTTCCCCACCTATTATTTGTTTCTCAAGAAGTAGAGGAGAGCTTATGGAATTATTTGCTTGATTTAGAGGCCAAAAACTGGCGGACCTGCTGTAGTTTAATAATAATCCTCTCTAGGCTGAGCTCTGTCCCTGCTGCCCAGGCAGTAGATGTGGAACAGGGATGAGCTCCCGTGCTTTGCATCTTCAGGAGGACAGCAGAATTATGAGCAGAATTTGTCTACAAATGTGTATCTGGTGAAGAAATACGAACTTCATTGTTATTTTAAGCTTGTACCGATATGAAAATCTGATCCAGAGCATTGTAATGTGGCAGCTACTCAGCTGTCCACAAAGAGTTGATTTAAAGTCAAAATTCACAGGCAGTTGGTGGGAGGGGAGGAGCAAGTTGTTGCTTTATCTGAGAGCACTGAAAAGCTTTTCTGAAACTCAAATGAAACAAACAAATCCACAAAGCAAATGTCATGGAATCATTTTCTTAAAGTATCCAAGCTGATGTGTGATATTTTGGCACTAAACAGCTGTTCTGTAAATGTTTGTTGCATCCTACAGCCCTAACCCAGTCAAGCAGCTGAGTGCCCTTGCTCTTCCAAGCATTTTCTTTTCAAAGCTCAGTGGCATTAAGAGCATTGCAGGTCTCCCACCCTCCGTAAGGATGAAGCTCAGCATGGGAATTGCCTCGGTAAATAAGGTGCTGATAAAGAACTACCAACTTTAGATCTTGTAAAGGCAGAGAGGTTTCTTGGAGGAGTGCAAAGCTATTTTCAGCTGCTGATTTGCTCACGGAGCATAAATGTAGGCATGATGAAATACGCAGATAATGTTTCATAGTAACCATCTGATAGCTAATAATGGTGAAGAAAAATAGAGTCGTAAGTTTGGCGTGGGCTGCAGTTTTAGCACCATTTCCTTCTGCAGGTTGTTACTACTGGCTGTACCTGCTGAGCAGCAGATACGGAGTTCCAAAGCGTGCCAAGGACAAATAAATTCATTTTCACCTTTTATGCTTGAGCAGGTTGCTACCCCACTACAAACAGGTTGCAGCCTTGTGTTCTGTAAAGCGTACTGCAGCGTCAGCCCCATGTAACTGCATCACCCCACGGAGCACCACACCCTGTGGGGAGATGTTTTGGCATGCATTTCCATAATAAAACACCTTAAATTTGCCTGTGCAAAACAGATTGGGAGTGATTCACTCATGTGTGAGCAGATTTTGCAGGGAACCTCTTTCGGAAGGGCAGCACAGCCAGTCGTGGGGTTGTGATTTAATATTTTATGGGTGTGGGATGAGCTGTGGACTTGCTGAGGCCAGGGGACAAACTGTGACAAGGTGCCACCGAGGACAAAAGCTCAAGAGCTGAAGTCCAGAGGGTTGGACCTGATTTCACAGCAGTGAGGCCATTCAGCATCAGTGGTAAGGACTGAAAGGGAGATGCTTGAGAGAGGTAGAGAAATTCTTTCTTTTTTTTAGGTTATTTGCCTACTCTCTGATGAATCAGGATGAGAAAGAAAACAGCCCAGGTGGTTTAGTTGTTGTGTAACTGTTTGCAAAGGTTTCTCAAATCCTTCCCTGAAGCATCTGCTTTTGCTGCTGTTTGATTCAGCTTTGTGGTCTAAACAGAGCACTTGTCTGATCTGCTATGGCAAATTTCAAATTCTGAGTGTCATACAGAATATCCCATAAGTAAACAGGGATATTCTCAGTCAGGTGTTTAACTTCCAGGCCCTGGGCATTGTCATGGTTTTACGTGCATCCCTTTGAAACCTCTACTGTGCTGATCAGTGGAGTATTCAAGGATCTGTCCAGTTAAGGAATGCTGGTCACTGAAGGCCAGTTGTGTTATCTTCATCTGCAGCTTTTGTGTGAAGAATGGTCAGTGTTGTCTTCCCTCCTAACAGCAATGTGGAACCTGCCCCTATTCCTGTGTGCCTGTGAGGATGTGCAGGGATCAGTGTCCAGCCTGGGGTGTCCATGTGTGTGTGCAGCCTGTCTGATACACAACATTTTCATTGCTTGTGAGGAGAATAAAGGCAGGTGTCTGTGTGTGCAGCTGTAATGGCTTGGCACAAGCAGCAGAAAAGGTGAATGTTGCAGAATGCCCTCGGGGGGGGAGTGGAGCACCCTGCAGGGACAAAACCTGTCCTGGCTACACCACCTGATGTGCAGGAATCAGCAGCCACCTGCCCTCTGACAGTGGGTTGGGATGGGAAGGGTGAGTCCGGCAGAAGATGTTGCTTATTCATGTAACAATTTGTGTCAAGTAGGCACTTCCTTGTCCGTTCCTTTTGATCTTTTTTACATACCCTAATTATGGATACAGTCTTGGCAAAGATGATAAAAGGTCTCAGGGGTTATAAAACAGGAGGCAAGGTTAAGAAAATTATGTTTATATTCATTAGAATAGAAGAGATTAAGAGGGGTCATGACCAAAGTGTACAAAATCCAAAAAGTATTGAAGAAAAAATGATGCCACCAGAATATTTAAGAGAGAAGCTGTGAAGAGAGGGCTAAGTGGAGAGCAGCTGGCATTTTGATTGGAATTGGTTGTGGGACATTTTTTCAAGGGTGTTGCTCTTGGTGAGGAAAATCAACTTGGGCTGATCAGTGGGGCTTTAGGCAGATAACTTAGGACACAGGTATGTTGTTGGCCAGAATTATAGGATACATCATGTAACTTCTTTTTGGAATGTCTGAGTGGGTTGGGTTTTGGCAGACAGTAGTGGATTAACAATGGGATTCACTTTTTGTGCTTGTTTGGAGTAATGAGCTGTGGTGTCAAATGTTGGAAGAGGGAAAGTCCCACGTTTTCATATTGAAAATGATTTGTGCAAACT